CAGCCCCTAGAGCCTGGCACTTTGAACTTGGACTTAAAGCCTCCAAATTGTAAGAATAAACTCCTGTTTGTTAAGGCCATCTCATTTGTGGTATATTCTTGTCAGAGTGACACTAGGTAACAAGAACAGTGGGATAGGCCTATCCAGCCTTTTTTTCCCCCCTCTATCTTATATGTATATCACATTGTCTTATTGTCATTTATTAAAATTCCCTCTACTTCCCCATGGGTTTTCTTTTACATTTGTCATAAATTTTATGTCCACATACATGTTTGCCCATTTCAGTAAAATCATTCATTCCATTATTTTTATTTTTATTAATGTATATAACATACTTTATTGATTACTCTAATTGTTTAATAAGTTTTGATAACCTGAGTATGAAATGTTAAACTTGTTCACCTTCTGCAAGATTTTCATGACTACCATTTTTCCTTTTCTGATTGTGATAAATTAGTAATTTTTTTAAATCAATAAACATACCATGAAAGCTTTATCACTGTAGTTTACCCATCTTATAATTTTCATAAAATACAAGCTAAGTTATTTTAAAAAATGTATTATTTAATCCTTTAAGTCAGTTTTGTTTTAATTTTATTCCTATTTTTTATTTAATTATGCATTTAGTCATATAGTTTAATCAAAGTTTTTCTTTCTAATAAGATTTTTGTGAATTGTAAGTTAGGGATGAAAATGTAAGTAAATAATCTACTGTCAGTAAATTCCACTTTTGATGAATAACTTTCACTCCTAGTAAGGGCCATTTTAAAATAGTAATAATTATTATCCATTTATTATACATAATATAGAACAACTACTGCCTCATGAGATACTTGTGAGGAAATAATGGTATATATATGGATAAACACATGAAAATGTATTGTTTTTGTATAATGCTGATGTTCTGTTACCTGATATAATCTCAGTGTGTCAGTTTACATTTCAAATTGATAAATATTTTTTTGCATACTATAATTATTGATCTACTATGCAAATTACTATTTCCATTTTATTGTCTATTGTTGAATTGTTTATTACTCAAATGTTCTGTTAATGTAATATTTATAATCCTTAAATCATCTCCAATCCTAAACTTCATGCAGCAGATTTTTTCCTAATCTCAATTACCTTGATGAACAGGGAAATGTTACTCCTTTTTGCAGAGCAATTTGAACATCCTTGTTTCTCAGACTATAAACTAATAATGGATTGAGAAAGGGTGTGAGCACTGTGTAGAGAAGGGAGAAACTCTTTTTTAGATTGAGTGTTGTTCCTGATGCTGGTGTCATGTATACCACAATCATGGTACCATAAAACACACTCACAACAATCAAGTGGGAGGAACATGTGGAAAAGGCTTTGAATCTCCCTGTAGAAGTAGAAATCTTTAAAATGGAGGACAGAATACAACCATAAGAAGACAATGTCCAAAGAAAAGGGGATAGGGATAGGAATGATGATACAGAGGCCACCTTCTCCACCACTGTAGTGTCAGTGCACGAGAGGTGCACCAGCAGGAAGAAGTCACAAAAGAAATCATCAATGATGTGGGGACTGCAAAAGGTTAATGAAGCAAGCAAAGTTATCACAGCTGCCATAAAGAGAAATCCAGCAATCCACGATGCAAGTGCCAGCTTGACACAAGTTCAGCTGTCCATAAGCACCGAGTATCTCAGGGGACAACTGATGGCCAAGTACCGATCATAAGACATGATGGCCAGGAAGAAACTCTACAGTGAGCAGGGCACCAACAGCATAGAGTTGCACCACACAGGCAGTAAAGGAGATAGTGACACCACCGGCTAAGACTTCCCTCAGCAGTTGAGGGGCAATGCTGCTTGTGTATCCAACATCACACAGGATAGATGGCACAGGAAGAAATACATTGGAGTATGAAGGCGTGGACTTGTCTCGACAGCAAGGATCAGCAGCACATTACCACACAGTGTGACAACATAAAGGCTTAGGAACAAAGAGAACAAAGCAGTCCCAACTTCTTCAAGGTCCCCAAACCCCAGCAAGATCACATAAGCAATAGTGGAGATATTTCTTCTCCGGTTGTCTTCCATCTGAGGGCAACAGATAAGATTTAGTGTTGTAGGCTGAAAAAATTAAAATGACTTATTTTGAGAGCATCCCATTATTACATGGTCAGGGCCATAATCACATTTACCAGTAATCCCAATAATGTTATTCTTTTCTAAAAGAATTTTAAAAATCTCAACTTCTTTTTATAATTTAATCTTCCTTTCTGAGCCTGTATGCCCAAAATGCCTAGACAAAAAGTCATTTTGGATAAAGGATAAGTAAATGGTTATGAATAAGTTTTGGACATTTAAACTTTAACCCTGTTGTTGTTGTTATGTGCCGTCGAGTCAGACCCGACTCACAGTGACCCTTCCTTGTGTTTCTGAGGCAGTATCACTAAGGAAGTAGATTGCCCCATCTTCCTTCCGAGAAGTGGCTGGTGGGTTTGAACCGCCAGCCTTCTTATCTGTAAACCTCTTTCATCTCTCTCATACTTTCTATTCACAGCCTTCCTCTGGTGAAATACAAGTGTTTTTCTCTTTCATGACTCTCCTTTAAAAGGTGCAAATGTAAATGCAAAAAAAAAAAAAAAGTTGGACTAAGATGGGCTAAGAATAATGTTCATGGACATAGAAACAATAGGATATAGGATCAGGTCCAAATTGTTTCAGAAACAATTACAAAGCAAGGACATGGGCACTTTCTCCTTCCATTTTATAGCATTATCTCTTATGTCTTGACAAATGCAATCAAGTTGGAACTCTTCTGTAGGACTTAACTTCCACAGGTGGAAGTCTGTCCTCACAAGGCGTGCATATAACATGGTACAAGATGTTGCACCTACCATTCTGTTTTATCTGAGAAGATATCTACTTTTCAGTAGTTGTTCAAATATCACACACTTTTCTCTCTTAATCTAAAAGTGGATGTCTATTCCAAAATGTTGAGCATAATTATAGAGAATAAGCAAAGATTTGAAGACCAAGTGACTTTCGAGAGATTAATCTATGTTTTATGTCTCTGATTACTGCCCTGTAGCAATCACTTCCTGTTCACTTTTTCTCATATGCCCATCCTTAGCCACCCCTTCTGATTTTCTTTCATAAATAAATTGGCATATCCTACGAGTTTAACCTCCACATTTATATGGAATGAACAGCATATGATAAGTCAATATCAATGGATATATTATATATACAATACTTTAAAATAATTTTATTTATTTATTATTGTGTATAAACGTTTTCTTAACTTTTTAAATTAGTGGTATTATACAGTTATTATTATTATGGGATAAGTATAAAATAAGTGAAGGACATATATTTTAAGATAATTAAATATGATGTAAACATAGAATTTTCCACTATTATAGTAGCCACAAAATGCCTATTTTTATTCAAACAGTGTATGTGTAAAAGTAACCTCAATTTTCTGAAGTTTACCTCTAAAAAGTATAAGAAAAAGTAAAGTGAAAAGAAAACACAAAAAAAGAGCATGTTCTACCAGATATATATTTTAAAAAATTACGATAATAATATTAACAATTGTGTTTCTGGTTCAAGAACAGGTCAAACATAATGACATTGATGAGGAACAGTAAAGTTACTTTCATACATACACACACACCCACACACATATACATATGTACACACACACACATACGAGATAAAGACATGAAAGAGATGTAATCACAGAGCAAGGAAGATGGGACTTTTAGAGAAGTTACTTCTGAACCTAACATGGTGCATGAAAATAGAGACAAAGGGATTAAATATGTAAACAATAAGAACGAAATGAGAATATGCTAAAAATATAGATAAATATTAAACCAACTTTAGGCTAATTAAAATTTCTCTAAACAGAAGACATTGAATAAAATTAGAAAGAAATACTAGTCAGTATGTTTCGTATAAATTTGGAAAGCAGAATTGCATCACATTCTAATGTATTTAAGCAGAAATAGAAATATTCTAAATAATTTCAAGTAGAAAAAACGTTAAAGAAATGATGGTAGGATGAAATAATTATCAGAGAATGAAAGATATATTTCATAAAATGTTATGATATGATCAATTTGTCACTAATAATTTGTGATAAAAACCATGCAATCTCAAGTCATTTATACATATTTCTATGTACAAATGTTGTTGCTAGGTGCCATGGAATTAGTTCTGACTGGCAGCAATGCTATCTATATTAGAATGAAACACTGCCCCCTGCTGCACCATCCTCACAATCGTTGCTATGTTTGAGCCCATTGTTAAAGCCACTGTGTCAATACATGTCACTGAGGGTCTTCCTCTTTTTTCACAGTCCCTCTAATTTACCAAGCATGATGTCCTTATCTGGGAACCAGTTCCTCCTGATAAAATGTGCAAAGTTTGTGAGAGGATGTTTTGCCATGCTATCTTCTAAGGAGCATTTTGGCTAAATTTCTTTCAAAACACATTTGTTCATTCTTCTGGCAGTCTATGACATATTTGTTATCATTCGCCAACACCATAATTCAAAAGCATTAATTTTTCCTTGGCCTTCCTTATTTGTTGTCCATCTTTTGCATGTTTTTGAGGTGACTGAAAAGATGATGGCTTGTGTGAGATGCACCTTGGTGTTCAAAATGACATCTTTATTTTTTAACACTTTAAAGAGCTCTTT